ACCACGGAATTCGAAACCCGGTTTCTAGCATTATAAGTCCGCAGACCTCACTGTGTCACTGGGGGGCTTTATTTAAAAACATGTCTAGCATATTAATTCATCGTGGAGAGCTCAGCGTGTGTGGCAAAGGACAAAGCTAGCTAGCTTCCCAGCGAATCGTATCTACATCAACTCGTAATTAACTCGGCTTCGGACTATTCGAAATTCTAATACGTAACAAAGGTTATTAAGAGTTGGGTGTTGAAAGAGGGTATCGGAAAACACCCCTACCGCTACTACCTTCGCCGCTACCTCTTAATACAAAGTTACCCTGACCATCGCACATTGTATACCATGTTTTTAGTATATACATTTTGAGTTCTTAAAGCTTATTCAAAACTTGTGGTGAGGTAATAATGAATACTGTAATAATATGTTATGTTATAAATAAATTGTGTCAAAGGTAGGATTTCTGTTATTTATCATAGCATCCATCCCCACATTTTTTGAAGTTCATAACCCGGACAAAGGACAGGTACCTCAACTTGTTTTTGAATAAAAGGTGAATTTCAAAATTAGCTACACATACCAAAAGTCATCTTATTTACAAGGCCTCCATTGGCACAGTGGTATGTCTGCGGAGTTTTACCGCTAGAAACCGGCTTTCGATACCCGTGGTGAGCAGAGCACAGATAACCCGTTTTACAGCTTTGTGCTTAACAAAAAACAAACAAACTTATCTAGAAGTCAACTTACTTGAAAACATACTTGGCATTTTTTTTCAAATTCATAACACTTATCTCATCAATGAACTTCAGGTGTTTTGAATATCCGCTATTTGACTCGTGTATTATGAATACCTTCATTACATTATCATGAATGTAGAGATTTATTCTTTTACTTCTTTGGTATTATCATTCAGTGTTGTAGATTATCAATAATTAATTTGCTAAAAAGCATATAATTACCGAAGCATTCACTTTTTGCATTAAAAAAAAACTCAAAAATTTACTTTTTTCAGTAAACGAAACATAAAATAGATTTGAAAATTACATGCTCGGTAATAGCAAGACAAAAAAATATTTTTGTGCTCCTTTTTTTTTTGCTGATTTTTATTTAATAATTTAAAGGTACTTGCCGTAAATCCGAAAGTTAAAGCTGATCAAGACAGATTTCGAGTGAAGGAACCGCAAAATGTTTTCTGAAACATACGTTAAGCAATAACGTCCTTTATAAAACACAAATTCTAAAATCTCTTAGAAAAGGAAACATTTATCATAAGTTCTATTATTAAAATAAAAAGGATATTGAGTATCATATCAATATGTTTTATGCTGACAATTCATAGCTATGCTTTAGTAGATGTGAGGTTATATTCTTGCTTTTATATCGACGTTTGTGGGATATAAATTCTGATAATAACAGATTACTTGATTTAAATGTTCGAAAGTGACTATCATTAAACATAAAACCAATACTGCCCTCATGAGATTTTGATTTTAAAATGTTATTTAACTACTTACTACCTACCTCCAGTTATTGTAAACAGTTGTTGCTAAGCGTGAACATAAGGTCATTTTTAGAGCAACTGACACACACACACACACACCAAGATAAGCTATATCATTGTTCCAAGCCCTTTGTTGGCTGCGAAAACTATAAGAAAACGACACGCTCGTTAATTTAATTTCTACTTGTAATGAGGTTTGCTCAAAGTCTTGTCGTCTTGTCTTCAACCAACCTATGGTTACTAATGAGGGGTAATCAGTTTGAAAGCGCTCTAAGATGAGTAAGGCAGAGCAAGATACATATCAAATCTCAAAATTAAGAGAAATGTGTGTAAATTAGCACCACAAGTTTTCTTGCATCCGATAAACAAAAAATGTTTCTCGCCTTTTATTTATCGATTTCTCGAATTAGTCCGTTTGGATTATTAACCTCTCAATTCGGAATTGAATATGGCAGACACCAATTTCATATAAAATATTGTTTCAAAATATTTTAACTCTAACTTTTAAACTTTTACCAAGAGTTAAAATACTGAATATTAAATGAATATGTGCAAAGTCTGATATTTCTAGTCTTTTATTTTCTTTCCTTGTACCCAATCTTATTAAGTCAAACCACATTTCTTTCACACATTTTAGTTAATGTACTGTTTCCCTGTATTAACTTTAATGGTATCAAATTAGATGTATATAGTCTATTTTATCTTCACTATTTTATGCCTTAGTTGTTGTAGTATTTTACTCATAGATTTTTAATAACATACGAACATTAGCTTTATAGAACTGAAAAATTGAGGCTTGATGATATTATATGTATTAATACAGTTCAACAGATAAAACAATGACAGGAACCTTTGACTCATTTTTAAAATATGTCTGGTCCTTTTCCTTGAATAGATATGATATTGAAAGTTGTCTGTTGTCAAAAAGAACCATCAAAACGTTTTGTTACAAATGTTGAAGTTGTCTTTATGCTACGTTTTATAATAAATTGGAAAGTATGGAAACAGTTAGATGTATAGTCTCATGTCTAGAAGATTAATGAATATCGTTAAATAAATGTAAGAAATTTTTAAAAGACAATATTTTTGAACGAGCACATTGAGGAAAGGCACTTTGATTGCAATTGTCCTACTTGTAATTGTAGAAGACAAACACAGTCTCACACACATAACAAAAACACACGCATACACATTTATTTATATATACATACATAAAGAGAGAGAAAGTAGAAGAAAACAGTGAGAGAAATGGTACAAAACAGATGAGACTGGAACCAGTTGGTCAAATGTATTTTAGACGAGCTTCTAGAGTAAAGAAAAAGACAATCATAAGTACAAAGCGGAACATTGTAACATAATATAAGTAAATGTGTATATTCTTCATCTTCCAAGGAACATTTCAACTACACCATTCCAGATCTGACCCACTTTGTACGATTACACAGGCCTGTGAACTTAAACTTCATAAAAGTTGTTTCGGTTTTAATACCGATTTTTCATAATTCAGCTACGCATATTTCAAAAATGATATTCATTTTTTTCTATCACTTAAGTATTTTTTTTTTTTGAATCGGGAAAAAAATCTCTTACTTAGATCAAATTATCATTTCGTTTATCACAATGAACATTTTTTATTATTATGTATGTTAACAAAAATAAAACAAACTGAAGAAAAGGGAAGAACATTGATGTCAACCGACTATGCATCCTCATTCATCCTGATTTTTTTGTGTGAAATCTACGTCTTTTAGTCTCAAACTACGTGTTGTGGTCTTTCTTTTATGTATTGCGTTATAACGTTTTGAGGAAAATTGATATTATTTTCAGATTCAGCGTACAGGAATTACTGTATAACATGTAAAACTTTCAAGACAATAAAACCATCGCAAGCCTGTGTTATCCATAAGGCCAGACAGTGTTAATAGAAATATTAAACTAACTAAATCCATTTTAAAAGTGAAATTTGGACTAATCAACTACATTAAGATATTTCCAATAAGTAATACATGCGTCATGACATTGACATTTAGCTATTGTGTTAGAATGTTGGATGGTTGTATAAAAACTGGGAAGGACAGTATTAATAATTTCGTGCATAATCAGAATTAACAAATATTTAAAGAAAGAGTAATCTTTTTGTAATTTCATAAAAAAACAGTAATAATACTTCAGCATAATATTATACAAACGCAACTAGTTTTTAGTTTTTTATTCACAAGGGAGGACAAGATGCTGAGGACAGTTTTACTACATCCCTTGATAATGACAATCTTGGCCTGTCGAAACCATTCGGATTTTTACGTTTTGTTAATTATTTAACCATTTGTTTGGCATGATATTGTAACATGTAAGATGGTCTAATTAAAAACAACAGAATTTCAAAAAGTGTGTACTTTGAAATGTTTCATTTCATTTCTACGAAGCTAACAGTTTAACTGTTTAGTAAAAAAAAAAAAAACAACTAGTTGCGGTCACGTTAGAAGGTCATTTTTATCAGTTATTAGATTTTAATGACATATTTATGATAATTAGAACCTTTGTCGTGTACATAAACAATTGCTAAGTTAGCAATATGTTCACTTTTATCATTAAGCATAGAAAACGTGTCATTTTGAAATCGAATAAGCAGGCTTAAAATATATGCAGCATCAGTTGATTCAATTTCGGAATAACAGGTAAAATATCACGAGTCAGGTGTTTCTTTTCAATCGAGTAAAGAGCGTCTGTAAATTAAACACCTAACCCATAATCTTATGCATGAATGTGGTCTAATAGAAATTTGAGGTCATGATAATATATATAAATCCTTCTAATGCTTGCAGTAAGTATAGTCCAGTATCATTGCAATCAGTTTGTATTGAAAAGTATACCATTGCCAAAAGGTTGTCCAACTCAAACTTCGCCATGAGAACTAGAATACTTTTATTTTTACAATGTTCTTGATGTGAAAGCAATTTTACAAAGAGCTCTGCGTCAGTAGGACTTTTTTACATAATTAAGTTTTATTTGAGGTAAATTATTTTGATATGTGTTTTGTAAACTTTAATCTTTATAACCAATTTCCATAACATTCTACATAAATTTTCGTTTTTTTATATTTTACTTCGCTGTCTTTAGGGTGTGTTGAATTTTGTCCCCGTGAATTGCGCTAGCCGTCCCTAATTTAGCAGTGTAAGACTAGAGGGAAGGCAGCTAGTCATCACCACCCACCGCCAACTCTTGGGCTACTCTTTTACCAACGAATAGTGGGATTGACCGTCACATTATTACGCCCCCACGGCTGAAAGGGCGAGCATGTTTAGTGTGACGTGGATTCGAACCCGCGACCCTCAGATTGCGAGTCGAGTGTCTTAACCACCTGGCCATGCCGGGCCTAATTCGTCGTCTTATTTGTCTCGCCGGTTCTAGTCTAGTTTCTTTCATTTCATTATACCCCCCCCCCCCCCAGTGGCCCAGCGGTATGTCTGTGGACATACAACGCTAGAATCCGGGCTTAGATACCCTTGGTGGGCAGAGCACAGATAGCCCATTGTGTAGCTTCGTGCTTAACTACAAACAAACAAACAAAATCATTTCATTATTATTGTTTTTAATTATTTTTTTTATTCTGTCATCAATTGGTTACATTACATACTCTTGTTTTCTGTAAACGTATAGTACTATTTTCTCAGATTTTTCGCTAGTCTTTATACAAAAATATAGTACTAATACAAAAGTATATAACAAAATTTCTATCTATTTCTCGTCATGTTGTTAAATTTAATATTTTTCTGCTATATTTGGTCGAGTGCGTGCTGGTCTGATCCGTGCTGGACTGTGGATCAGAGGTTCTTTGGTTCGCGCCACGTTAACTTACCCACCCCACCCCAAAACAAAATCGGACTCCGCACTTTGTGGCCGTGGGTGCATTATAAATATAGTTTTCGAATCCCATTATTCGGTGGGTGATACTAACTGGCTGCCTTTTTCTCTAGTCTGTCACTTCAAAATTAGGGGCAGCTGGGCATACAGCCCACTAGTAGCTTTGCGTGAAATTCAACAAACAAACATTCTTCTATATTTATTCTATACTAGCTGAACCACTCGTCCCCTGGACGGAAGTTATATAAATTCAGGATTAATGAACGATTATCTTAGGGCATGAAAAGTTGCTTCTCTTATATGTAATTGTAAAAAAACGCAAAGATGCCCGTAAAAACTACAAAACAAAAAATTTGAAACCGCAAATTTGCGTGTATCTTCGGATGGAACCAATAAACCTTCATGCTGAATTTGGTGAAGATCCATCCATCCACAGGAGGTGAGGTAGTGGTAAAAAACGCCCATAAAAACCGCAAAACGCAAAACTAAAAATTTGTTTGTGTTTCCCCATAGGCCCAATAAACCTCCATACCAATTTTGAAGATCCATGAAAATACAACAGACATTACTATTATATTTATATATATTTATTTTTAGTGTCTAAATATATATATATCTTGTATTAACTCACAAAATATAGTGTTTCCGTGTAAAATGTTAAGACGTTGACGATTAAATTATATGTGTGGAACTGACTTTTCTCTAGGTAACAAAATTATGATCTTTGGTGTGCTTATCATTTCTTTTGTAAATCCAACGTTTAATAATATTAGTTTCAGTATTAGTGTCATAGAGAACGAAACTAAAACGGTAATCAAGGTTTAATTAATCGTTAATCATGGCGAACATATGATTTTAACAGCTCTTGGGTGATGCTATTAAATTATATCATTATTATAATTATATTTTGCGAAAATGTAGTTTTTTGATGTCCTTGTCTGGCACACCATATTAGAATCAAATATACTTTCAAGCTAGATCAGGTTCTTGAATTTTTTTAATCTTCTTTGTTTCCTCCATGTTACATGTGCTTGTTTAACTCAATTTTTAATCACGGTTTTTTGTGATTGTTTGTGATTTTTTTTATTTTTACAATTACATATGAGGGAAGCAACTTTTCATGTTCTTAGCTAAACTTTCATCTAATGTAAGTTTAATTAAAGTTTGTAACAATATTGTAATAATAGATTATAAAGCATATTGTTCCATGCTTTTAAAGGTAGAATTACGCATTGTTATAATTAGTCTTCGCGTATTGTTCCATACTTCTAAAAGAAATATTACGCGTTCTTATAAATAGTTTTCGCATATTGTTCCATGCTTCTAAAAGTAGAATTACGCGTTCTTGTAAATAGTTTTCGAGTATTGTTCCATGCTTCTAAAAGTAAAATTACGCGTTGTTGTAAATAGTTTTCGCGTATTGTTCCATGCTTCTAAAAGAAGAATTACGCATTGTTGTAAATAGTTTTCGCATATTGTTCCATACTTCTAAAAGAAGAATTACGCGTTCTTGTAAATAGTTTTCGCATATTGTTCCATGCTTCTAAAAGTAGAATTACGCGTTCTTGTAAATAGTTTTCGAGTATTGTTCCATGCTTCTAGAAGTAAAATTACGCGTTGTTGTAATTAGTCTTCGCGTTTCTCCTTTGAATAATTTTATTCAGGAAATTAAGTAAAGCATGTTATCAAATCCTTTCCAGAAGAGACTTGTAATCAAATAACTGTATATGTATGTGTGTGTGTATACATTTTGAAAGATTCTGTTGTTTTGTAAATGTATTTGACCTTTTCAGGTACAAATATATTAACGTCATCTGGTTCTGCTGTCACTGGCTGGCAATGAGCAACTCATGCTATAATCCATTCGTATACGCCATCTACAATGTAAGTTTGTAATGTTTTAATGAATGAAAAATGCATCGTAATTCCTTATATCTAGAAAAAAAAAAGCTTTATAATTTTAATTAAAACTGATATTTTAAAATTACGTTTTATATAATTACAAGAAGAGAAACTTTGAAACTGCACGACCAACAATAATAAAACAACTTCTACATGTGTAGTCCAAAGCTTTTATTTTGTTATTTTAAAGGTGAAATCAATTTAACAAAAATCTCCCAGCCAACTTTCAAGATTAATTACCTACTGAACGAAATTTAGTTCAAATTCCTAGGCCTAATATTTTAGCAGATACAAGTCTTAGAAATGTGTTTTAATGATATACAACCTATTTCAATGGAATATTTCTTTATTCACAGAAAGTAAAAAAAATAAATTTGTAACCTGAACACTACCTTAAGCACACCTGAACTAAACGACTAGGTGAGAAATCCCTAGGATTTAGGCGTAGCCATCCTTAATTTCGAAATGCTGATCAGAAGAAGGACAACCAGCCAGCAATAAGTCTTTGAATAAAATAACAATATTGCTTTTTATTTTTATAACGCACCTACAGCTGAAAGTGTGGAGCGTGTTCAGCAGTATCATGTCTCGAACCTTGGACCCTTCGATGGCTAACTGGACAAGCTAGCTTCCAAGTCAATCCCGGTTCACATAAGAAGATAAATAAATGGAATTTAATAATTAACACAGTTGACCATTTTACGTGTCGATAACAAATTTAAGGTAACTTATAAAATGTGGTTTTCCTGCAATTAGCACTAAAAATGCGATACGATGTGGATGTATTAGAAACTACTAATAATTGTGCGTTTAGTACACAAACTCAATTACTCTAGTTAAGGTAGTAATAATTAGTCCTCTGTTGACTAGGTGGAAATTTTAAGGGCTTATAATCTGATAATTCGGGGATCGATCCTCGCGTCGGACACAGCGTAGATAGCTCATTCTGCAGCTTTGCACTAAAACAAACGAAATAATAAGTAACATCATATAAAAATATAAAAATAGTATTTTAAAGGTATTCAAATATATAATTATCCGAAAAATTAAAACGTACACTATAAAAATTCCACTCGATTGAAAAAACGTTAATATAAATAGTTACACAATAAATATACAATTACACAATAAAAACTTGTGGCTTTATGAGTTAACATGAATAAGTTATGTATCTCGAAACCTTCATTAGCATAGGCTGCATAAATTTTTATTCCATAAACATGCGTAGTCATTTACACAATAAATATAAATATACATTCAAATATCTAACAAAATATTATTCTTTATACAGATTAATTCCCATGTAAAATTATTGTCGTCTAAATAAACTAACTCAAATGGGGCTCGACTACAATAAGATATTCTGTTAAATTATGAAACGCTCAACATTTTATTGGTCCAAATATGTATATATAGAAAATAACCTCGAATATAACTTAATCAATGAAACACATTGCAATAATGTCATGGATATAATCATTATATTCTAGGACCGTTTTCATAATTGCCCTACGTTTTTTCAACTTGATGTCATTAGTATTGTCGTGATACTTCTCTATTATTTTTATATCGTTGCAGGAGAGATTCAACACAGAGTTCAGGAGTCGCTTCGCTTGTTGTACGAGGTCATTTCGAAGACAACAGCAGGAGCAGAAGGACCTCGACCACTCTCTGTCCTCCAGATATGGGTGACAATGAGATGAGTTTCATTCCGAGGTCGTAACAAATACATATTTTCGTGTGTGTACAAACAACACACGAAACTCTCTTGTCAAAAACAAGAATGTTAAAGAATTTATTACGAAAATCAGACGTCTATTTGACTCAACGTTGAAGGAAGTATGTTAAAATGAGATGTTCATATTAATGTCGTAATTTCACTTGATGTCGTTTGTCTTTGTGTATTATTTATTTAAAGAAAATATTATTATCTTACAAATATACATTCCACACTGTGAGGAGATGAAATGAAATGCTGAGAAGTGAAAGAAAGAGTGAAAAGTGTGTTTAATGTGTCACACAAAATTAAAGACAAAAAAACACGTTGTAACTTAAAATCAAAGACAGGAGGAACTACATTTTAATTAGATTTAGATGCGACTCCTCTCCCCCCCCCCCATCCCTCCCATTGTCTCGGCAAAAGTTTAGGGTTTATAACGCTAAAAATCTGGTTTCGATACCCACGATAGACATAACACACATAATCCATTGTGTAGCTTGGTGTTTAATAACAAGCAAAAATTCTCACAAAAGGAAACATTTTCTAACGCGTGAGAATGGAAATTAAAAATAATTTGTTTTTGTTTAACGCTTGTTATAAGTGAATAGTTTCCTAAGATTTCGCAGGAAAGCTGAAAGTTTATATTATGACGTAAAGTCATTAGTGTTTAGTAATTAATGTATTACAGTTTTCATAAGTGCACAAGATTACTTATTTTGATAAAACTCGCATGTTATCTAGTGACTGCTTATTGTGCTTTAAACACACACAGTCTCCTTCGAATTAAAGGATAAGACAATGCTTTCGACGGATGCATAACTAGTGGTCATCATCATTCCTACTATTTGTGTTCATCTCGGCAGACGAAAGTTATCACACAGTTTAAATTACTCCCTAGACAAATCTATATTATGTTCATTAACAACAATAGTGTTCTTGAAGTTAAACGAATAGAACATTTTCTCACGTTGTAAAACATTAATGCATTGGTTTGTTTGTTTGTTTGTAATTAAGCACAAAGCTACACAATGGGCTATCTGTGCTCTGCCCACCACGGGTATCGAAACCCGGATTCTTGCGTTGTAAGTCCGCAGACATACGCTGTGCCACTGGGGGCCATTAATGCATTGGATGGCAGTTTTATGAAAATGGTTTGTCTGTTTCGTTGGTTGCTGTTAAGCTTGAAGCTATACAATTGGCTATGTATGTTCTGCCAATCACGGGTATCGAAACCCAAATTTTAGCATTTTAAGCCCACAGACTTACAACTGAGCCTCTGGGGGGACATATTAAAATATGTTTTCTCATTTTACGTGACAATAAATTACATTGGGGGGACATATTAAAATATGTTTTCTCATTTTACGTGACAATAAATTACATTGGGGGGCATATTAAAATATGTTTTCTCATTTTACGTTATAATAAATTACATTGGGGGACATATTAAAATATGTTTTCTCATTTTACGTGATAATAAATTACATTGGGGGACATATTAAAATATGTTTTCTCATTTTACGTGACAATAAATTACATTGGG